CTGAAGATATTTTTGGCTGTCACATCTAGGAAGAAGATATTGTTACTGGCATCCAGTGGGAGCAGCTCAGGGAGGCTTCTAAACACCCCACAACGCAGAGGAGAGCCCCAGCAAAAGAATTATCCAGTCTCAAATGTCAGAGTTGCTAACAATAAAAAACCTTATGTAGCGTTAACTGCAGAGCACGTGCAAAGTTAGGAGTGAGGGAAGTTTGGCCGTTTTGCCTTTTAAGGTCTCGTCCATTTGACTTTATGGTAGTAAATATTGGAGTGCTGTATTTTCAACAAGAGAATTCAATTTAAGATACAATAAGTCAATGGAATACTATACAGTCACTAAAAGACAAGCAGCAAAAGAAATTTGTTTATGAGAAACAGAGGCCCAATCTTAGTGTATTGCCAAGGAGTGAGCAGGGCTGCCAGCCACTGAATTGTGTGAATCCCTAACCACCCTGCAGCCTGCTTCACCTTCCTAAGCACCATGGGCAGGTGGGGACTATGGGTACAGGTAGCATCATGTCAGCCTCATTTCTTTCTTATTTATCATCATCTAATAAATACCATTTTAGATATAAATAGATTGTCCAAGTTTTGAAACAATCATTTATGTCTTTAGAGAAATTATAAAAACAAAGAAAAAGGAAAAAATAAAAACGATGGTTTCACGCATAGCAGGAGGATAAGGGATCGGGAGGGGGGAAAAGCAACCGTAATAAAGTCAAAACAAAAATCAATAAACAACTATAAGCCAGAGACATTCTACGGGGGTGGAGAGGAGAACAGGATCAAACCTGGAGCAGGAAGAGAGCACAGGACTATGGTGATGGCACATGGGTGAACTGGTATGGGAAATCCACAGGGATTACAACCAAAACGAAAAAATGTACAAAATAAAGAAAGATTATAGATTGATAGATAGATAGATAGATAGATAGATAGATAGATAGATAGATAGATAGATAGACAGACAGATAGACAGATAGATAGATAGATAGATAGATAGATAGATAGATAGATATACATATATAGATAGATAGATAGGTATAGATATATATATATAGATCGATAGATAGATAGATAGATATAAACATCTGCTATACAGTGATCAAAAGTGAAAAATTCACTCTTAAAGCCAAGTGGAAGGCCCTCCCTTGTGGCACAAGGATTTAAAGCGCAACACTAGGAAGCTATCTGCAGGAACTGCAGCACAGGGTTCAGGAGTTCGATCCCTGGCCAGGGAGGTGATCCACACAGCAGTTTCACAACCTGTTCTCCTCAGCAGTGTGTTTCAGTAGACCTGTTAAGTTCTCATCCCCTGCAATTCTGGCCTACACCCAGGCTCTTATATACACAAATGAATAAACATAAATTTAAAAAAGAAGCCGAGCTGAGTCAAAATCAAGACACTCAATAAAAAACTGTAAGGATAAGGACCCATCTTTTGGAGTATTCACCAAGTGCCTGGAATTGCGTTATTTGACATACAGACATTATTTCATTTCAGCCATGCAGCAACCGTTTCAGCACTATAATTCCCATATGACAAAGGAGGAAACAGAGCTTCGAAGATGACTGACTGACCCAGGGCCCAGCACTACAGGTGGCAGAAGAAATTTATAGGCCCCAAAAGTCTATAAACTGAAACCCCCAGGTTCCAAGTAAGAAAACTTCTCTTGGCTGTGAGATGGAACAACACTGTCCTTGAAGTCATTATAAAATTCGATTTTAATGAAAGCACTTAAAAAATATATAGAGACCTACTTAAGTTCACTACAGTATTAGAACTGCATTTTGTCACATCAAGTTTATTTTTATTATCCCATTCATAACCAAAAGCTACCAAGGAAGTTATCTTTCACTAACTAATCTGTAACAGTAAACATCCACATTTTTAAAATTAGTTGGTATATAAATTATCTGAATGCAGAGTTGGATTTTTTTTTACAAGCTTCTCTTTTCTGAATTATCTTCTTGGGGAAAAAAGGAAATAATGTATGTGTGAACAATGCATGTGTGAAGAGAATTTCAATGGGAGGCATTATCCCTCCTCCCCAATAAATAAAAATAAGAGACCTTTAAGAGACACTTTCACTAACAGTTCTTTTCTAAATAAAATAAACAAGAGCACAGGGCACCTTGACTACTACTTAGAAAATAAAATCAGAACACAAGAAAATCTGTAATTCTAATCACATTTACACCTTCTCTCCTTTTTTACATTTCTCATCCAAACATCCTTAGGAGCTCAATAGGCTTAAAAGAATTGGAGCAGGGTAGAGAACAAAGGTGAGGGGAATCTGAGAAACAGCTTAAATGACTGTTCTCACCAATTCAATAATTTTAAACTGGGAACTGGGTAACATAGTTTGCAAAAGATGTAAAAGTCATAAATGAAGGAAGAATTGGTAAAAATTTATTTTTCCTTCTTATATTATAAAATTTACATTTTACAAGACAGCCTAGTCATTAACCACTTGTAGATAAGAAATGCAAGGAAGCACTAAGAATATACTGTTGAATAAAACAAATATTAAATTTAAATGTATTAGGTTTAGTCACTGAAAGTCTATCAGTTAAATGAATATATTTATAGTATTGTAAAGAACAATATATGTGTTCTTAAAATACATATACAGGTATATGTATACATATACAAATAACTATTTCTACATATATAATAACTTTTTATATTAACATGCTCCCTCCTGTGATTGAGGGTAATTTTAGAAAGTAAGATATCCAGTCTCTACTGTCAAGCTAATGTTATAGATCATATATAAATAAAAAAATTTAAAAAGCATTTATGAACCATGTATGGTTTCCTCAATTGGAAAATGAGTATTTTAAGTGGGAAGAAGACCTCTTTAAAAGAAATAGCTTAATATTTCACTTGGTTATATAAATAAAACAGTTTAAATAAAATTATGACCAACACCACAGAGACAAGAAAAGTCACACAATGAATTCACATGGGAATGTCCTCTGTGAGGAGATGCTAATTCAAAATAATATTTCCATATGGCTTTTCCTTACTGCAAGTATCAAGGGAAATTAGCACTTCTGTTCTCCAGCACCAATGATGTGTCCAGGGTAGGGGGCAAACAATCCAGAAAGTCTTCAGAAAGAGGGAGTTTGCCTTTCTGCCTCCTTCACAGGACCATGTGTATCAAACACAAATACAAAATAACACATAATAAACACAACCATTTCCTTCTCTGGAAGGACAGCTTCAGCTTCCCTTACATCCTGGTCAAATGCTCTATGAGCCAGTCACACTCTGGAAAATTCATCAAATGAGATAACACACAGGAGGTTCTAGAAACATAATCTATTTTAGCAGATATTTTACATCCAGCAGGTACTAGAAATACTGAGATAAAGGGATGGGGGAGTTCAATGCCTGAGGGGTGAGAGGATCAACATTCACTCATCAGCCAAAATGATGCTCTTGGGGGACACAGTCTAACAATGCCAGCAAGGACACCTCAGCTGAGTATCCTCAGGGTATCCCCTTCCCCCTCAAGTGAGACTGCAGTGGGACTAGCTACTGATAAGTAAGGTGCTTTGTTGTAGTTGTTTTAGTGAAAATAACGCCCTGGAGTAAGAAAACAGACTAGTCTAGAGGTGCTTGTTTGAGGACAGACCTACCCCCAGCTGAGACTATCAACTATGTTGTTTCAGGTAGTGCAGAGGTATTCAGATGATAAGAAAAGGCGCTTTTTTGCGGGGGGTGGGGGGGGGAGAAGGAGTTAGGTTGTGTTTTATTTTTTGTTTTGTTTTTGTTTTTAGATTTATTTATGCGGAAAGATGGCTCTTGTCAATTCTAATGGATTCATCGAGCCTATAGGGCCAGATTTTCCGGAGGGGCGATTCCAGACTGAGTTCACAACTAGCAAAGCAATCAAGCATCCTAGCTGCAGCTGGCTGATGCTACGAGCCGTCTTCTCGCCCTAAAAACTCCGAGGACGGATTTCAGACTCAGGCACCCTCCACAAGTTCTTTGTTCAGCCAATAGCCTCAGACCATTCGGCCCCGCACCGGCCTCATCCTCCAGGTGCACTAGACCTTAGCTCCACACACCTGCCACCGCGCTTGACGCCTAAGGTCCATTGGAGCAGAGAAGGCACAGGGTCAACGCCGCCAGCAGATGGAAATGTGCGCGATGGGGCGGGCACCGGGGGCAAAGGTGCAGGTGAAAGCGGGGCGGGTGTGCGGGGTGTGTGTGTGGGGGGGCGGAATAAAGGTGCGGCGAATAGGGGGAGCGCAGCAGGGCTCACAGCAAGCTGAATCTACACTGACCGCACTCAACTGCAGTCCTTCGCCCTGCACCTGGGATGTCTCAACCGTGTGAAGCGGCTCCCCAGTCAAACGGTCATCTCTACTGCCAGCAGCCTTCACACCTCCAGGCTGGAACCACCCAGTGGGTCCCTCCCCGAGGTCTGAATGTTGATGTGCCGACGCGCAGCGAAGGGTCATGATCGCGTGGACACACTGAAGCCGAGCTCGACAGGCCGGGGACACCGGCTGCCTGGTCAGACCCAGTTCTCCAGCCAAGGAGTGTCAGGCAGGGTCGTGTCTTTGGCAGCAAACTTGGAGCGCCAACACAACTCTGGCCAGCGAGCAGAAAGCAGCCAACAGAGGCCCCCCGGAGGGGCACCGGCGACATTCCCACTGGGCACAGAAAAGCGGTCAGAAGGCTCTTTCCAGCCGCCTGCCTCGAGGCCTCTTGCAGACGCGCAGTGGGAGATGCCCGGCGCCCGCGCGGGCAGAGGCGCCCCGGGCTCCGCTCAGCTGCAGGCGAAGTCAGGACCGCCCGGAGCTGCGCAGCCTCGGGATGTGCACCCCCCCAGACCCCCGAAAGTTTCCCCGGGCGCGGCCCGGAGTCTGAAAGGTCATCTCCCAGGCCAGGGTTACCCGAGAGCCCAGGAGCGCCGCGCCGCGCCAGGACACCCCCGGCCAGTGCCCCGGCTCCCCACCGCGCGCCCGCCAGCCCCGTCTTACCTGCCCTCGGCGAATCCGGCAGCCCCCTGACAGCTCCCGCCAGGCGCCCCTGGAAAAGTTTCCCAACTTCTTCGCAGCTCTGCGCGCCCTCGCTTCGGACAGACCCGACCAGAGCCAGAAGGAGCAGACCGCCACAGCCCACGCGCCAGGTCCGCGCGCCCATCGTCGCTGTGCCGGCCACCCCGGCCGCCGCGGACGCCCTCGGCCGGCGCCCAGCGCCGGGTGCTGCAAGAGGCTCGGCGGTCGAGGCTCCCAGGGGCGCGACCTGGCGGCGGGCGACCAGAGGCGGCTCTGGGACACCCGCCTCACCACGGAGCTCTAGCCTTGCGGCTCGGGAGCCTCGCGGCACAGCAGCCGGAGTTGCCGCGAAGCGCGCGGACCGCCCTCTCCAGCCGACGCGCGCTAGCGCAGCCCCGCGGTGGAAAACGTCGGAGCCGCGCGGGGCCCGCGAGCACCGGCTCTGGACGCA